TAGGTCTTCGAGAATGATAATCGGTTCGAAAACCAATCGATGGCGTTATCGATTTTCTAAGAAATACAACCCCCAGAAAACTGACCTGGATATGTTTGAATGACGATCCACAAAAGGCAGAGAAAAAAAAACATGAGGTTAGTTGGGTCACCTTAGTTTTGTTTGTGTGGACATAGAGACGAGGGTACAGGAGGAAGGAACGGTTGAAAGCTTTCAAATTGAGCAGAAGTAAAGTACGCGAATATATTGATTATAAAAAGCGGCGACAAACAGGCGAAGAGGAGCAGTTGAAAGAGTACGGTGAGTGGACTGAGTTTGTAGAAGCTGGAGAGGGCGGGGGATGATGAAGACCAGCAAAAGAAGTAAATATGTCTGCTGCTGCTGATGAGAAGCAGATCATGTGTGGAAGTTATTTGAGTGATTGGCCAAGCAAGGAACGGGCGATCGAGATGAGGGTTGGAAAGTTTGTGGCTGTATTGTAAGTAGAGTGGGGTAAACTCTAGTGCGGATGATGAGGAAGCGGGAAGATGGAGGAAGAGGGAGGAAGTGTGGGGGGGATAGATACAAGTTGAGGTGGTAAACTGACCAGCTCCGCTCGAAAAAAGACGAGAATTGGGTTTGTTGATTACCTCTGCTGCAAGGCTTTTTTATATCAAGCTCTTGGTTTTAAAAAAAGGCCTTCTTCAAGAACTAGAAGGATTCGAACGAGCCTATAACAAGGATCGATCGGTGGTGGTCTAGGATGGACGGGTTTCGGAGGTCGTCAATCAGCAGCACGGTTTGCTTGTGCTCAGCTTTCTTGTTGGTTCTTGTTTTTGGTCTGAAGCTGGCCTTGTGATTCTGCTGGGGTAGTAGATCCTCTGTGTTTTTCTTTTTTTTTTCCTGATAATCAGAGCTGCTGCCGAACTAAATTCCAGCCGACAACATACATATTGGAGACTGATCACAGATCATGACGACGACGAGGATTGGAAGGAGGAGGAGGAGGAGGACGATGATGTCATGACTATGTACTCAGGCTGTCAATGGGCCGGGCTTGGGGCCAAAAACCATGCCCATTAAACCCGCCCCGCCTTGGAACGTGGGGCGGGGCGGGCCAGGCCACAATTCCAAAAAGTATGCCCAAAGCCACCCGGGCTTTGAGACAGTTGGGCTCGGCGCGGGTCTCGGCTCTGCCCATCAATAAGTGCTTTTTTTTTTTCCTTTTTTTGGCCTGAGTATTATTCTTGGCCAACGGGGTTGGGGTTTGCAGAGGGGAGTCAGATATATGTGACTGTGATATCCTCAGTTGAGGGGGGCATGGGGCTTTCCTTAGTCTGCTTTTTTGAACAATGAGGGTACTGATGGGGCCATGGTTATGGGATTCTGGGCCCTCAAACCTAATAATATGATGTACAGTGGGTGGACCGTTATTTTTGGCTGCTTGTTTTGGGTTCTACAGCTTCAAAGCACAAACTCCAACTCACAAGAATTGTTGAATTGGTGCAGAATAGGTCCCAAAGAATGAATATGAAAAAATAAAAACAAAAAATTAAGTTTCAAAATTTGTGAAAAATAAAAAATAAAAATGTTTTTTTCCAAAAGCTTTGTTATTGATTTTGGGGGAGTGGGAGTGCTGAGAGAAAGAAAGAGTGGAACATGGGAAGAATGATTATGAATGAAAAAAATTGGAACCAAAAAAGGTTTGGCCAGGTTGGTTTTCCAGATTGGAGCCAAAACAGTAAATTCTAGTGCTTGACTGCAATGTGGGCTGGTGAATGCCCCAATCAACAGCTCTTTGAAGCCATCTGGAAAGCAATTTTTCCAAAATTTTCATTCATAATCATTTTTCTAATATCCCAATCTTCCTTTCTCTCAGCACTCTCACTCCCCCAAAATGAATTTCAAAGCTTTTGAGAAAAATAAATTTTATTTTTTATTTTTCACAAATTTTGAAACTTTGTTTTTTGGTTTTATTTTTTTGTATTCATTCTTTGGGAACTATTGTGCACCACTTCACCAATTCTTGTGACTTCAAGTTTGTGCTTTGAAGCTCTGGAATCCAAAACAAGCAGCCAAAAATAACGGTCCACCCACTGTACTGTGAGTACATATTATTGGGTTAATTCTGATGATATTCAGAACAACTCGGGCTTTTCATGGGCCGGTGGGCCGGCCCACATCCAGGAAAGCCTGCCCAAACCCGGCCCATGAATTTGGTGGGTCTCCACGGGTCGGGTCACACTTGGGTAATTTTTCCACCCTTTCCTGTTCAAACCCGCCCCGAGACCCGTTGGGGGCGTTGACAGCCCGACTCAAGCCCATTGACAGCCTGACTCCTAGCATATCCATAAACTCAATGCATACCACGGTGGTATTCGACAGGATTTTTGGGCCCCTCGAATACCGATTCGTCGAATACTCAGGTATTCGCAGATATTCGAAAGAAAAAATCCCAAAAATCACCAAAAACACCTAAAAAGATGTTTGAGGTCTTCTCTTCTTTCTGTATCTCAATTGCAATTCACACAGTCTTTTATTTCATCTAAGAACTATTTTCAGTCATCTTGGCGTGTATTACATGGAGATTTTTGAGAGAAAAAGTTGAAATAAACATAAAAAATTGAAAACTCTTAGTCAATTTTAATGGAATCATATGCCTTATTAACTAAATTGCCTCAAAGCCAAGATCGCATACACATGTTAGATTCAACTGAGTCCCCTGCGAGAGAAACTCTTTTAACAGTAACTAGATTACCTGACTGAGAGAACACTTGTTCGCTAGCTGCCGAAGTGGCCAGAATCGCAAGGTAGTCCTTGGCTATCATCGAGAGTGTTGGAAGTACATGCTGATTCTCCTTCCACCAGTTGATGATGTCTTTCTCAAACGGTGGTTCAGGCATTTGCAGGTAGGTTGAAATTTAATTGGTTGGCAACGGCTTTGATATCATCTTATATTTTTGTAATGGGTGGAACTGAATTTTTTCATTGGTCTTTGTGGAAATTGGTTCAGAAACCGTCACATTAGTTTTTGATTTCTTCTTGACCGAAACCTTCGCTGAGTAATCTTCAAATGTTGCTTGTAAGACCTTTATTGCTTCGTCTTTGAACTGGATCTGGGTCTCACTGATGCTGTCAGCGACAGCATCAGTGAGTTGTTGTTCAAATAGAGTGAGCTTGAAACGAGGATCCAAAACAACGGCGAGTATAGAGTGATGAGAGTGGACCCAATAGTAGCCTTCAAGCTTTTCAATAGCAGCCTTAGCTGCTTCAATCATGACCGATCTTTTTGTGCGGCGTGATTTTGTAAACTTTTCGATGGTTTCATTACAGTGGTCCATCAGTGCCTTGTACCACGGGATCACAATCGTCAGAGTCGCATAGAATTCGCCTTGGGTGTCAATCGATGCCTGTTGGAATTTCTCCAAGAAAGAATGAATCCACTCGAAAAGGTTCCAATCGTCATCCTGGATGACTTCCTGTTACATAGAATAAGTTTTATATTAGCAACCAAGCTGAGTGAAACCAAACAAATCTAAAATCTGAAGGGATTACTGACCAGTTCTCGAGTTTTCTTATCATTAGCATCACGCACTGCATTGGTAATTTGAGATTTTCCAGAGCTGGCTTTACTCTTCTTCTTTGACTTAGATTTCTTCTTTTTTCCCTTTTGACTAGATTGGGTAGTTTTCATGTAAGAGGAGATAAGGTCGTCAATCGCCGATCTTTGTATAAGAGCTAGATCAAGCATGTTGAAGGTGGAATTCCAGCGTGTGGCGTTGTTGATGATGGGCTTTGATTCTTTTACATCGTTATCCTTGCAGAGACCTTGAAATACACTATACACTTGATCAGACAGTCGGATATGTAAAACCACCGCTCGAAGTTTAGTTAATGAAGGCTCGACAACACGGAGAACTTCATTCGCCGCAAGGTTGAGGATGTGGGCAAAACATCTGATGTGAGATTCAGGAGACCGCAGCAGTTTTGAGTCGAGGGCAGTCTGTATAAATTTATCGTTGTTTGAAGCATTATCCAGAGTGATCGATATGATTCGCTTTCCAAGATAAGAGAGGTCCACTTTGTCAGTGGATAGACCCTCGTTCTCCTCAGCAGATTGTGATTGGATATCATGTTCATTGGTATCTGATTCAGAAGCGCTAGAGGTTTCGTCAGAAGTATCATCAATCTCAATTGCTTTTCTTTTTTTTGAAGTCGAGCCGCCAAGTTCGTGATGGCAGAAGAACTTCTCAAAGATCTGGAGAATTTTGTCGTGGATGTTGGTGCCAGTGTGCTTTTCTCGGAAGGGTTTGAAGCCTATTGTTGCTGAAGTAGGCTTCAAATCTTTTGAGATGAAATGACAAGTAAGCGAGATATAAGGGGTTCCGCCAGCTGAGGTCCAGATATCGGTTGTGAAAGAGAAGCGCTCGGACTCGCTTTTCAGGAAGCTAAACACTACAGGCTTACTATCTGCGTAAAGTGCCTTGATTCGCAGAGAAACCGTTTGTTTGCCAAAGATTGTGATCCCTGGGTCAATTCCTTGAATCAACTGGGTGAATTTAGCTGATTTGACTTTTGCGTAAGGTAGCTGGTCTTCAATGATCCAGTTGATAAGATTCGAGTCAAAATTAGACTGTCAAGACTTGAGCATGATCTGTTGGAGGGGTCCTTTGGCTTTAGATGTTGGCGGCATGGACTGAGAAGCGGCCGGACTAGAACTGAGGGGAGTTTCAATGCCATCTTCGGCATTTTCGGAAGCTTCCAGGGCAGCTTTCCATTCACCAGGGTGCTTACGAGCTACGTGGTTCACAAAATTGGTCTTAGTCGTCTTGTTTGCCACTAGCGCATCACCACAGTCGTCAATCAAGCAAGTACGTTTTCCATTTGAATCGGGTGGAGCAAAAAATGAACTAGCTATCTCTGAATGGCTAACTCCAAAAAATTTACGTCTCTTGTGAAGATGATGGATTGGATTGCGGACCAGGAGTTCGTTTATCTTTTGGCAATGGATCCTTTTCATTCGCCATGATTCTGCTTTTAAACAAAGCACAGCATTATCTATCAGCCATAGATCCGCAGGGATTAGATAAAATTTGAAACTGTTACCTTTCAAAGCCCCTAGTGGGCAGGAACCAATATTTCTCAACGGTCAACGGTTGAAGTCAGTGGTGGTGTTCTGATAGTAATGGAAGCCCAGGATATGTGGTATCAGTGGTTCTGGGTTGTGTACATAGTATATACTCCTAATTCCGGGTTGTGCACAGGGACCCCGGGGCCCATAGAGGGCCTTGGAAGCTCCTTCGGGGCCCCAAAGGCCCTGAATGGCAATCTGAGAGAATATTCGATTCTATTCGAATATTCGAGCTGAAATATGCCACACCATTATTTGACTCGAATCAAATACAAATACGAATACTTGAATCGAATTGATTCGATGTGGTATGCATTGTCATGATAAACTTACTGACAATAAAAATCACAGTTTTTTTTGGCTACAACCATAGAAATCCATTTAATCCCAAGGATATTGGAGGACTTCCTGTCAAATTTACAGCCCCCTGTAAAGCTACTTTGACGACAAAAGAGAGGAGAACTCAAGATGATGCAATGAGAACTGTCAACTGATCAATCCGGCTATTATAAGCTTCAACACATACCAAGATTTTTTTCTTTTCTTGAAGTGGATTTTCCACACCTGATCAGCATCCTGGGACTGGAGCTATAGAGACTGATCTAACATACATGAGTGGGTCTATGACTCCCAAGCCCCAGGTTGATTCACCAATATTGGAGGACTTCCCATCACAATTTAGAATGCTTTTCAGACCTCCCTCAGTCCTAAATTAACAACACAGTTGAGATTTCAACCAGCTTACATGAGAGCTGTTTCTGGAAGGCTTCAGAAAAAATGGGTTTTTTTGATGAAAAAAAAAGATAGATCTGAGGGGTGTAAATTGACTTCTGGGAGGGTCATAGATTGCAATGGGAAGTCATCCAATAATTAAGACAAAACATTATGGCAGTTCATGTTGCATCAAAACTGTTGCTGATGTGGCACAAGGTTTGTTTGCTGGTGGACAAACTTCATAAACTTTAATTGTGGGATTTCAACTCCAAAGGGGAGCCTCCCACTAAACTCTGTTGGTTTCCCATAAACCTTAAAATAGGCATTCAGACAAGGTTCATCAGCAGAACGTGAACTGCCCTATTGTCATTGGTATTTTTTATAAGGCTGTAATTACCTGGTCCTCAGGCCAGGGCACATCATGAGCCTCATCCCTGTTAACGCAATCAGAAAATGGATACCAAGATGAAAATCAAAATTCCCCTATAAAGGGAAGGATGTATTTCCATCAGAGCACCACTTCTTTGTATTGGAGGACTTCCTGTTGGATCTGGGACCCTTGCTGAAGTCAATCTAGACCTGAAAAATCTTAATTCTCGCAGAGAAATTTGAATTTCAAGGCTCTAAACCAACTCTGCAAGACCCACAGATGTTGACGGGAAGTTGTCCACTTGTAACAATTCTTGTGATGATGAGAAAATACAAAAAGGTGAGGATGCGAAAAACATAAGGCCCCCTTTGGCCGCAAATCATGATACGTGATTTGGCTAAGTGTCAGCCACCGTGATGCCAAGGAGTATCCCTTCTAGCTACACGTGGTGCAAAACCTTAAGATGATAGAGTTTGAACTCTGGGACTGAAGAGTCCGGTGGATAATTCCAATGGTGATTGGTAATTACAAAGTTATGAGACAGTAGAAAAGATTAATTATATCAATAAATATTGATATAATTTAAACAGAGGGGCCTGATAAATCAGGGTTTGTTTAATCCCTCAAAGGTATCGTGCAAAAAGCAGAGGATTTAGGTACCTGTTAACACTGGGGCCTGTGAACAGGTGTGGTTTAAATCCCAGAATAAAGTAGTGGAAATCTCAAGAAAGAAGGGGGCATTATGTACTAATAATGTCCCTTAAGTCTTGAGGTTTTTGATGGACAGAGAATTAAAGCAAAAGACAATACATTACCAGACAGATACAAAAGTTAAGCATTTTGTGACGGTGGGTAATTTAAAGTGGGTTGCTATAATCTGATAAATCTGATTTTGGGGGGAAAGAGGGCTCTTTATATACCCGTGGAGGCATCTGGGAGATCAGGGTCAACTTGTGGGTGCTTCATGCATGGAGGCTGAAACATGTGACCATATCCTCGGAAATGTGCCACAGGTGTTCTGTGGAAGATGAAAGCTGAAACATGTGGCTATTTCCTTGGAAATGTGCCACACACGTGTTATCAATATACAAATGTATGTTTGAAACAGCAAATCAGTTTCAAGTCTTAAACCTGTTTATTAGCATATTTAATTATAAACATAAGCATATTTCATTTCCTGCTTGGAGGTACACCCTATAGCTTTAATGTAGATTTGCTGCATGAGTATCTTCATATAGATTAAGAATATTGAGAAATAATGCCCTTATTATTTGATCTTCTCATTTATTTTCAGTACTATTCATCTCAAAACATCTCTGGTGAGTAATAATGTCTTTTTTGTATTTTATGTTATGTTTGTGTACTATGACAGGTTGTCTCTGCTATAGTAGCAAGCTGACACTAAGGTTTGGCAGAGGTTTGGACTATGCAATATAAAATGATTCAAAATATTTGCACAAACTCATGCCAAACCTTGCCTCAAAATTACAAATCACAGACGGCCCAACAGGGCCTAAAAAATCATTCATCTCACTTCTCAATATCTGTTTAGT